CTTGAGGCTGGGTCTTGGTAGAGTATTGTGTGTCCATTCTAGATTTTATACCTCAGTAAGTGTTGAGGCGCAGTGTATCATAGATCATAGAATCCCTACAATATGGAAACAAGCCCTTCGGCCCAACAAGTCCACACCGACGCTCCGAGCATCCCACCCAGATCCATCCCCCTATAACCACCTAATTTCCACATCCCTGAACACTATGGGACAATTTAGCATGGCCAATCCACCTAGCCTGCACATTTTTGGACTGTGGGAGGAAATTGGATCACCCGGAGGAAACCCACGCAGAATATGCAAACTCCACACAGACAGTTGCCCGAGGGTGGAATTGAACCTGGGTCCCTGGGGCTGTGAGGCAGCAGTGCTAACCACTGAGCCACCGTACCCTTTTTGAGGACTTGACTACAGCAGTGCCAAGTTTACAGGCCAGTGATGCACAACCACCAGAATAATACCTTAAATCATTTATTTACATTTTCCACATCATGCTTACTTTAACTCTTCAAAGACCTGCAGTGTTCACCATGTTCCTTAAATTGGAATTAGTCCAAATCCAGACTAAGGTGGGATATCCCACACGGGAGAGATTAGGCACTGGGCAAGAGTTAGGGAGGTGCCAGCAGGCAAATTTGCTTAAAAAAGAAGCCACCTCTTGAGATGGCTACCTTTGGTTCTGGACACTATTAATCATATATTTGTCAATGACCACTACACGATAGTCTTTGTGATGGACACCACAGAAACAGCAATGACCAGTCGGAGATGTCAGTAATAACACACAAAATTTAGATAGAAAGACAAGGAAATGAGTAACTCACCAACAACGGTGAGGTATCTGTTTGCATTCAAAAAGGAGCTGCAATCAGAGGAAAAGTTTACAAGATGTTTCACAGAGGAAGAAAGGAACAGGCACCAGGACATTACTGGGGAATGACAAACTTGAAACTGAAGGCTAGAGAATAATTTTAAATGAGACGAGGAATGTTTATGGAGCAAGTTCCAAAGGTAAGCTTAGTGCCATTACTCCGGCTCCTAATACTGTGAAGCACAGCTGAAAGCAATGGAGGAGAGGGAGAGAACATTGTAAAAGAAGAGCAGAAGCGAGAATGTAGGAATGTTAACCTGCAGTAGCTTGTGGAGATAGGGCAAGGAAAAACTGTGGAGGGCTTGGGAAAGAAAAAGATCATAAAATATGATACATTTGTGTCAACATAAGTCATTGAGGATAAGGTAATAGATGAATAGGGAAACAGATGATTTCTTAAGTTAGGAGAGATCAGAGTGGCCCTGCAGAAAGAGTCCAAGGATGGCAAAGATATGGAAAGTGCTGAAGTAGGGCAAGAGATAGTCAAGGTTGAATTGAGTAGTATTGATAGTATTATTAATCCAAATCAAACAGGATGAAGTAGTTGTAAAATTTGCTTCTGTCTGATCAGCCAGATAGGTAGTGGAGCAATGCAACAGGAATATTGGGAAGTGTTATAAACTTCAACGTGAGGAAATTTTAGCTCCTTTCTCAGATAGGCAGACAAAGTACAAGTGGCAAAGCTGGATACAATTGACAGACATAGGCAACTGACCCAACACTTACTAATGATGCAGCATTCTGCATGATTTCTGATGTTTTTACTTCCATCAGCATGTTTTACCTTTTGCAGCAATGCTTATGTTACCCCTAGTAACTTCAGAAATTAGACATGGATATTGTGGTACAGAGAATCAAGGGAAGCTCATCACAGCTGGCTAATATACAATATTTCATCTTCAGGCACACAGGTGTCTGAGCTAACATTAGGTCATAAAAGAGTGAATTTTAAAGACTCAGGACAGAAAAATATTCTCATCTTTATCTTAAACGGGAGAGACAGTTTCATTTTTTAGAAGAAATCTCTTTCCTGTGACTAGTTTTAGTCTCCCCAAAAGATAACACCTTTCAGCATCCATCCTATCAATCCTCCACTGAATATTACATGTTACATTATTACACCAAGACAACCTCTTGTTCTTCTAAACTTCAATGGACACAGACACAGCCTGACCGACCTTTCCACACAAGGTAATTGTCCCCACCCCATCCCAGGAAACAGTGCAGTGAAACTTCTCCAAATTGCTTTCAATGCATTTACATTGTTCCTTAAATAAGGAGACTAAAACAGTAGACCGTTGTCCTGACACGGTCCCAGCAATATCCTGCACAACTGTAAGAAAATCTTTTACATTCCATTCTCCTTGCAAAATACTTTCAATATTCCATTTGCATTTCTAACATTATTATGGAGTATGTTACAACTTTCATTCCACGAATGAAGTAAACTTGCTTGATTGTATTCAAACAGAACAAATGCTGGAGAAACTCAACAATTCTGGCAGCATCTGTGGGGAGAGAAACAGGGTTAACGCTGACAGACTAGTATGACCCTTCTTCAGAGACCAGTCATACTGGACGCAAAACGTTAATGTAGTTTTTCTCTCTCAAGATACTGCCACACTTGCTGAGTTTCTTTGGCATTCTGTGTGTTTGTTTCAGATTTCCAGCATCCGCAGTATTTTGCTTTTATTCACTTGGTTGTATTGACTGAGATAGAACTATGTCTCAAGATAATTTACAACACAGCAACATTTAATGCAGCGTGGAGCTGGAGGTACACAGCAGGCCAGGCAGCATCAGAGGAGCAGGAAAGCTGACGTTTCGGGTCAAGACCCTTCTTCAGAAAAAAAGCCCATTTCTGTGTTATCTCTGACTCCAGCATCGGCAATTCTTATTATCTCTGAGGAAAAATAATGTTTGGTTTCCCCGCATGGAGATGCTAGACAAAGAGTCTAGGGATTAAACCATTCATACCCTTGAAAAAATAAATTGCTTCAATTTGACACTGGCAATGGAATTATCACACCTTACAGTATTCATTGCTCTAACTGATCTAGGTTTAGGGTAGACAGGAATTGTTGAGGAGGCAAGAGAGGGAAAGAGGTGCATCTTGTTTAGACCTAGTTCACAGATGTATAAAAGTGGGGTTAAAAAGGTATTAGAATTCAATGACTGGGCATGAGATTGCATCAAACATGCCTCATGACTAGTTCCCATTTTCAGTTATACAGTTAGGAGGCAGGACAATGAGGAAGAAGTGTTTCATAAATAAACAGAAAAGAGGAAATCACTGCAAGCTACTGTTATCCAGCTCAACTAATTGTTTCCAAACTAACATAGCCAAGCGTCTGGGAGTCTGCCAGCAAGCCATCCTTTCTGCAGAGCAAAGGTCCATTGTACAAAAGGATTTAAATCAAAGGATAAAAATAAACAAACTTGAAAACGGAGACAAAAACAAGTTCTTTTTAAATTAAAAACCAATGCCCTCAGGAAGGAAGAGGATACAGTAGAATTACAGTCCAGATAGTTGAAAAACAAGGCACAGCACTGTTAATTGGAATGTACTACACCAAATGCTTATTATCATTCAACTAAATGACAGGGAGTATGCAAGAATAATAGCTACTGAGGAATAAACCTTCTACGTATCATTTTGAACAAATTTAGAGGATCCTTACTACTGAACTGATGTGTTCATTGGATTTATTTTTCATTTTTTTAGCGACTAGTAGCAATTGATAGTGCTGATGCAAGCAAATAGGATTCACTGGCCTGATTTTGAAGCAGTAGCAATGTCACTGTACACATCCCTCAGTAGCTCTGTTCCTAAAATGATAAATCAATGACATGCTTCATGTTGTGAAGCACTACTTTGCTCCTTGCACGGATGTGACAGAAGAAAAGGTCATACATAGGAGGAAGGTTGCTGCTGTTTTGGAGGATTCCAGTGCAAATTTGAAGTCCTCTTAGTCAACATTAGCCTGATCAAAGAATCCTAAATAATCAGCAATTTATTCAATTTACAACAACCTAATAAACTCAGTTTGGTTTTGAGAGTTTCTTGATTTCCTTCAGCTTAGAAAGAATACCAATTTGTGGTATTCCCTGTGGAGCTGCTTTCTGACAATCCAGTAATATGTTCTTATGGAGAGCTCCCTCAAAACAGAAAGCTAATCCCTCCTATAAGCAAGATCATTTGAAACCAAGTGAAGCACAGTTCCTTTCCACATTTTCACTTTTTACTAAATACTGTAGAATAATATTACTCCAGAGTAGGACCACCCTTCCACTAATGGTCAAAACATCCAAGGAGGAACATGTAGCATTACAAACAGGTTCCCAATCCACAAGTGCACATTTAATCTGAAATCCTTCTGTTTCTTTTTGTCTTCTTCCTCTCTTGAATCCTGGGGGTCAACTACTGACAGAAGGATTTGTAATATGTATCAGATACCTATCAATCTGTCTTAATGCACAACATGACTTTCACATCTCTATAAGTTAGCTCCATATCAAATGCTGCATTTGTGTTATTAATTGAAGAAGAGGCTCTGAACATTCCCCATGGTCCACCACTCTGGATTCAAACAGACATGTATGCCAAATATCTCGACACTGGAACATTAAAATAATTGTGCATTGATATAGCATACATGTATATATTTCATTTTAACAAAAAGTCAAGGTTCAAAATTTTGTTCAGCGGTTGCCATAACTTCTCTCTTGTTTGTGGGTGGTAAGAATAAGCTAGTGAGTGCTGAACTGCGCTGCGAGCCTGTATGGACAGATAGTGGAAGACAGCTTACTGCAGTCAGAATAAAGTAGCCTTAAGCTCCAGCAATACAATTTACATTGGTTCCAAAGACATCTGTGCCATCTTGTTTACCTTGTAGCATGGTTGTTGAAACCAAGCTGCTGTTGGGGGTAGCATTATAAATTAAAATGCCTCAACTGACCTAAAGGCACAATTCAGCTCTCATTCTAGAGCACTTCCACCATCTGAATAGTTTATTGGTAATTTTAACCTGCTGGTAGCCAAAAAGAACCCCTTTAGTAAGCAAATGTAAATGTTTTAATTGGGACATGACATATAAATTGAATAAAATTTAAGCAGTATGGTACCTACCTCAACAATATCAGAATTGGTTCTGCTTTCATGGGGTTCATTATACTCTGTGTACTTGAGTAAAACTTTGTCCATGTCAGTGCTAGCATACTGAAACAATTTGTTTGAACTGTTGAATATTATCAAAGCAATCTCACAGTCACACAGTACACTCAGTTCATAGGCTTTCTTCATTAATCCAAATTTTCTCTTTGTGAACGTCACCTGCATTAGAAAGAGGAAAACAGAAAACTGTTATGCCTAAATCTGAAGGGTTGGAAAATTTACATGGTGCAATCTTACAATGACAGTGTGAATTCCTGGAGATGAAAATAATGGCTTTAAAACTGTATTCTATCGTCAGAATTTGTTAAGAGAAGTCAAACAGATACAAAATCGATATTTAATAATTATTATCCCAAAATTTTGTTCTTAGATAACATATCTCATTTCCACTTCTTACCATATCTCTTTGTCCTCTCCTCTAAAATTGCATCTGGTCATCATTTAAATCCATCTATAGTATTTGAAAGTACGGTCTTATCTATTGTAGCTGATATGTCCAATAAATTTTGGGAGAAGTTTTCTATGTAAAATTGATCTATTTAGCTCCAGCTTTCACGTGTCCATTGTCAAATTTGTAATATCGCTAAATAGACTTATCGACTTGCATAATAATTTTTAAAACTTGCATCCAATAGGTCATATTGAACTTTCCTCTTTTGAATTGAGAGAGGAAAAGGTGATGTTAAAATAAGGAGTGGTAAAAATGTTCATTATAAATTGGAGGTTCTGGAGAAACTCAGCTGGTCTGACAGTATCTAGCGTAGAGAGAAAAAGAGAGTTAATGTTGTATGTTAATTGGGTTAAATGTGCTTCAGAAGAAACGGTCATATTGGACTTGAAATTTCAAGTCTTTCTTTGAATTCCTGTATTTCCACAGTCAGAAATCACAAGACACCAGGTTATAGCCCAACAAATATTTGGAAAACAAGCTTTCCGAGCCTCAGTCCTTCTTCATGTGTTAGTGAGAGTGGGAGAATGAGACACGACATTTATAAGTAAAAGGTCAAAAGGTTCACATCACTGATGAGGATGTATTGAACAAACCTAAGATGCTATTATATTTTCAAGAAGCAGTCAGATATAGTTCTTGGGATAAAGGGATTAAAGGGTATGTGGAGAAAGTGGGAAAAGGATCCCGAGTTGGGTGGTCAGCTATGAGCGTAATGAATGGCACAGCAGGCTTCTATTTCCTAAGTTTAATAAGTTAGAAGGTTTTAACTGATTAATATGTATATGTAAATGCCCAAATACCTTTCAAATCATGGTCCTGAGAGAACTGAAGGTTTTATCAGTGTCAAGAGGTGGTGACATTTTAGGTCAGACAATGCATGTTAGGGGTAAGGCCTTGTTTAGAATCGGTTTGCATTTGAGTTTGGAGTCAGACTGGTTTTATTTCTGAAGTAGGAATTTATAAAACACCACAGTGACTGACTATAATTTGTGTGCTTTATGAACAAAAGCAAACATATCTGCAAACACAAATTCACCGTATAGACCACACACTCCCTCCTCCCCTGACACAGGCACACCCACACTCTCTCTCTCTCCGTCCAGACATACAGTCACTCCACACCGCCCCCACACGCAGACAAACTCAGTCACTCTCTCTTCAAACACGCACACACACACTCTCTCTCTCTCTCATCACGTCTCCACCCAAACCCTGCCGACCCCCACACAGACACACACACCACACCGCGCACACTTCACACACGCACACACGCCACACTTCACACCACAACCACTTCACACACACACACCCCCACACCCACACACACACGCCACACTTCACACACACACACACACACACACACTTCACACCACACCCACTTCACACACACACACACACACACTTCACACCACACCCACTTCACACACACACACACTTCACACCACACCCACTTCACACACACACACCCCCACACCCACACACACACACCACACACACACGCCACACGCCACACTTCACACACACACACACCACACCCACTTCACACACACTTCACACACACACACACACACACACACACACAC